ATGCTCTTACAAAATTATAAACCAGACAATCAAAAGTATAAAATAAAGATCTAAGATTAACTATAAAACTGAACAGTATAGTAGTAAGGTATGGTTGCGAACGTTCAATAGTAGGCAGCCTTAAGTTTTCGATTCTTATCCAAGTCAACATCCGTACAGCTCCATTCGTAGATTAATATAATCAAACCACTCCTGCACAACCAGTCGGATGTATCGAGACATTATTTTCGGTTGAAAGCTGTTAGTTACGACTGAATTTTGGTCAAAGTTCCCATTAAACACCTGGTGAAAGGATCATAGGAAAAGTTGTTGATTGCTTCAAAACATAAATAAAACTGACATTTATTAATGAATTTTAGTCTCCGTTAAAGATGTTAGGGGCGTCACGCAACTTTCCAATTCATTTGGTGACAGAGGGTTGCGTGACGATCTAAAAATTTTGATTGGTCTATTGTGTTACCTTGACAACGTCATTCTCTTTATGGTCCTCCCATGTCTGTCCATCAATGCTCCATTTGATCTTGTATTTCGTCACATATTTGACTTGATCGCCGGGTCTTCCCTGTGTTGCGATTTTTGTTACAATCTTAACTTGACCCAAATCTACTTGTAGATACTGCCCGACGCTAAGAGATGAAGGAGCCCAGGAAGATATGATATTTAAACGCCCGTCTTTTGCCCAAAAACTTGGATTACTCTGATGACCATACGAAGAAGAGGCCGAGAGAGCAGAGTCTGGGATCGAGCGATCTTCCATCCCTAGAGGACTTGCACAGGCTAAAAGACAACAGAGAGAGGAAATATAACCACCCTTCTCGACTGCAAAAACAAACTTAACATGTTCACCATTATATTACGCTCACCTTTACACTGTCGAGTGACGCCATCTTTTTCTAAAAGACACACTTGATCCCCAGTACATAACGAGTCATCACAAAACTTAGCGGAACGAAAGATATACAACAGAAAGCTGCCATTATCAGAGGGAACATAGTCTCCCGGATGTGACGCATGCGTAGCGCTATTCAGCTCACAGACACCCACATTGGGATA